GACGTCGACACAAACGTCCAAGGCGCGTGCAGCTACACCCGGTGAGCGACTACATCTATGGGTCGTGGGACTGCGTCCTCTCTTGCTGCGGTACCAAAGTCTCTTCGTACGACCCGTTCCCGGCACGCGGCTGCGCCAAGGCCACGCACGCCGCTGTGCACCACGACACGTTCCCGTACCTCAACCGCATCGGACAGTTCCGCGCCATGCTGCGCGACCACGACGAATGGATGCGCGTCGAGCAGGACGACTACACGGTCGCCGCGGACGGCAGCGACATTGCGTGCCGCGTCTCGGGCCACGTCGGGCGCCTCCGCGACGGCGAGACCGTCGCCGTGTGGGCCAAGCAAGGCGGCATCACTGTCGCGCTCCACGCGCTCTCGCTGTCCGAGCTCACGGCGGCGACGCCACCGCCGGCATGGGCCGTCTCGGAAGCGACGACGCGCGTCAACGACGTTTGGAACAAGACCGTCGTTCGCTTGGGCCAAACGTGGTGCGTTGAAGCCGCGTGGATTGCATGGGACATGGCCGCACGGACGCTTCAAGTGCGCGTCAAGGCTCCCACCAGCAGCGCCCCGAACGTCTCGGTACGGCCATCTCCCCGCCTTGTCTTTGATGTGCATGCGACGTAGCTAGTGTCCTTTTGCGTCGAGAATGTGGCGGTCCACAGCGTCGCGACGGTTGCAGACGACGCCAGCAACCTCGATGACGTGGCACCTCGTGCGCCGTCTTCGCGTGCGTGTTTGCCCCGTCTCGCGTTTGAAGCGATCCCAGAAGCCTTCTTCCATGGTAGTACACTACATCGTCCGGTCCACTGTCAACGGCGGTGCGTGCGTAGAGAACCGGTCGGCGCTCCCCGTGTTTGCGTCGTATGGTGCGCTGCCGCTGCGTCTCAAGCTCTCCAAGCCCATCGTTGTCAACGAGTCGCGTTACCACACAGCGTACACTGGAACGAAGCGAGTGCGCCCTCAATGTGTCGCGCGTAGGGCGGACCTCTTTGAAGCCGAGTTTCTCGTCGTGAGCCTCTTGGAGCACGACGCCATCGCGACGACGTCGACGCTCTCCGCAGAGCGCAAGCACATACTCGAGATGGTCCACGACCGAACGATCAACGTTGACGAGGCCGAGAGGCTCTTGATCGCGACGGCCAAGACTGCGCCGCTGGCCGCAGCACCCGATGGCAGCATCACGCTCGTCGACGCCGCGTGCCACCTCAGCGTCGACGACGGTGCGACCTGGACGAGCGCAAGCCACGTTACGTGGGACAATTCGGACGCGCTTTTGCTCAAGGTGCTGCGCGGTGACGTGCTTCGGTGCAAGGCCTCGGCCCTCTTTCCCGCTCCGACCAAGCAGGGCCAGTGGCGCAACCAGTGCGATGTTGACCTCCAAAGGAGCCTGCCATTCACATGCGTTCATAGATCGTTCTTGACGCGCCGCATGAGCACACCGGCGCGCCTGCGCTGGACGGTTGAGAGCGCGTTTGGCGACACGTGCACGCTCGAGACGTCGTTTCGGAACCCGCCGCTGGCGCCGCTGCCGACCAAGCGCATGGCTGATGACTACTTTTTCGCGCACATCGATGCGATCGACCACGGGTTTGAGCGCCGCTGTGTGCGGGTACGATCGTGTGTTTTTGTATCAAGTGGATGGATTGATATGTACGTGGTAGATTCAACGGCCCACGAAAGACGACGAGATGAGCTCCCCCCGTGCGCTCTGGAAGGTGGTCTCGGCGACGATGCACACGACGACGCACTCGGTGACGACGCGGACGCTACGCACGTGGCGCCGCCAGCTCGCCCCCGGACAGACGGAGCTGCCACTGACGAGCGTGAGCGAGCCAGGCAGCGTCGAGTGGACGGGTCTCTTTGACGCTGACGCGCGTTTGGTCGCGCTCCGCGTCAAGCTGCTCTTCGACGACGCGGTCGCAGAACACACGTGGGACGTGCCGTGGACGCAAGTCGCAGCGACGTTGGTCGAGGCGGCCGCTTGATAAGGCGGTGGACGCAACCTCAATTCAAAAGCGATCCAGCAACTTGTGCATAGCATGTATAAGCTATGTACACGATTTTTGCAATTCCTTTTAGCGACTGCGGCCGTTGGCGTCGGTCCTGTCAAGATGCTGTTGGTACTTCGTCGACCACCTTTTGTTGAGTCGGTGGATTCCTGCTTCACACGCAGGAGGTGCGGGTTTGATCCCCGTACGTGTCGTCCCTTTCTTCTCTTGCCCTTTGGCGTTGGCGTCGGAACCATCGAGTTAATTTTTTCAGGTCACAAGAAGCCTCTCGTGCGTAGAACAGCCGTTGCACAACGCGTATAGCAACGGCGTCATGCTCACCGACTGCTGATGATTGCCGAAACGACGCTTTTAAAGGTAAAGCTTATGCAAGTACACCTACGACGCAACGCCTGCCTCATGCCACCGACAGCTGCTCCTTGGATTGCGGGACCCGACGCGCGCCAACGTCAACACGTTTGGTGGCGTTTCAGTGCGTGTTGCACTTGGTTGTATTACTATGTGGTAGTGTCGATACCTTTGGTTTCAGATGCTTCGAGGCACCGCCCCTTTCTGCACGGCAGAGCCTGCCTTGATATGGGCTCGGCTTGAATGGCCTCGCGACCGTCCTCGTCGTGCGGTCGCCATGGCTCGACCCTTTCATGCTGCAGCTTGAAGACTGGAAAGTGCAATCTTGTGGGCCAAGTGCAAAGTGCACTTTGACGCTGGCTTTTTCTGAGCTCTTGACGGTCGTCACCACATATTGTTGTGAGATGCAGAGAGTCAAACGGCGAGGATCCCTCTTTCCGCTGTCGCGCAAGCTTAGGGATTTTGCTCCGTGGGGTGCTCCCAAGCCAGACGAACAGTCGCCTCCTCCTACAACGAGGTCCATGGGCAACGTAGCACATTGCACGGTTTTGATGGCCATCGTGGCGAGTCTCTCGACTTGAATTGAAGCGGTGGCGTCGACTGCTCCACGACGCAAGCGCCACCGAGCCACAGTAGGACGTGGCCGAGATGATGGGACAGTGTCCAGCACCCGAACGTCGACGGATGTTCTATTGGGTGCAGGTCCGACTTGAGCGCATTTTTCCACTGGCAGCATGGCGCACACGCTGGGCTTTGCGGGCAAAGCCAGCATCCACGTGCAGCTCGAGACGCCGACGTGCGCGGCGACCGAGCTGCTCATTGGCACCGTGCGCGTGCGTGTGACCCAGCCCGTCGCGTGCAGCGGTACTGGACAACATCGTCGCGCGCGGCTAAAGGCGCCTTGTAGAGATTGTCGTCATCGTCGCCGGCAACGAGCGTGTTGCGTGGACTGAGGCGTGGACCGAGAAGGAAGCGGAGGGGCACACCGAGACGATCTTTGACGGCCGCGAGTTCTTTCGACAAAAAGGTACGACGTGTGGCGTGCTTGCGCCTTTC